TTTTAAAGATTTGAAGCAAAAATCATACCAAGTGAATCAACACTTTATAGGTCATGGTAAACTTTTGGCTAGAACGGACTCACGGTGAGTCCTCCATCTTCATTCTTTAGTTCTTCTTCTTTCCCTTTCTCTCTCCTCAATTATCCACTCCTCTGCTCTCCTCCCCTGTCTCTGGCGATCTCTCCCTCGATATTTACACTCTTCCCAATTCCCATCACCTCCATCATCGACCCTAATACGAAATTTCCGAAATTTACCCCATTAAAGGTGCTCTTCTCATTGTTACTCTCTTCGATCAATCGAAGTTTCTTTTTTTTTTTTTCTTTCAAACTTTGCCTAACTCTTCAGCTCTTCAATGGCTGACTCCTCCTTAGACGTTTAAGAAATTGTTGCCTTCTATTGTTACGTTCGTTGTGTTCCTATTGCTAATGAAAATAATGAAATCATTGCTTGTTCTTATTGTTATGAATTTCTTGTTTGCTACAGTAATAAGGAGAATTCTCCTCTTAAAGCATAAAGCTATTGATATTAAAATTTAAACGTCAGATATTAACCTTTTAATGTTTGATATAAAACTTATAATGTCAAATATAAAACTTTTGATGTCAGACATTAAACTTTTAATGTTTTCACGATAGTAAACTTGTAAGGTTTGATATTAGAATAATATTATCATATATTAGAATATTAGTGTCATATTTTAGAATATTATTATCAGATTTTAAAATATTAGTGTCCTGTAAAAGAATATTATTGTAAGGTATAAGTATATTAGTGTCATGTATTAGAATATTATTGTTAGATATTAAAATATTAGTGTCATGGATAAGAATATGATTGTCAGGTATAAGTATATTAGTGTCATGTATTAGAATATTATTGTCAGATATTAAAATATTAGTGTCATGTATAAGAATATTATTGTCAGGTATAAGTATATTAGTGTCATGTATTAGAATATTATTGTCAGATTTTAAAATATTAGTGACATGTATAAGAATATTACTGTCAGGTATTAGAATATTACTGTCATGTATTAGAATATTATTGTCAGATATTAAAATATTACTGTCATGTATTAGATTATTATTGTCCGGTATTATAATATTATTGTCATGTATTTGGTGTTGTGGGCCCCGCAATCGGGTTTAGTTAGCCCGCACCTTTTTGTTGGACTTTTGTTATTGAGCCCGGTCTCACGTGAGTCCGGTCTCACACAAAACCTTTTGATAAGTCATTGTTGTTTTTATTGGATATATTCTTTAGGAATACTCCCTTCGTTTATATATATATATATATATATATATATATATATATATAATATATATATATATATATATATATATATATATATATATATATATATATATATATATATATATATAAGGTAGAGGGCATGTTCTCATTGACTGAACTCAGCTGAACTGAACTGAACTAACTGAAATGAGCTGAACTGAACTGAACTAAACTGAAATGAATACTTTATAAGAGAAAGAAATTAGGAGTTAAACTGAGCTGAACTGAACTGAACTGAAATGAACTGAATTTCAACGTAAGAGAACAGACCCTTAGAGATTTTCCACTATTCATATGTCATCATTGGCTTAATTTTCTTATGAATATATCAATGTATGAAAATAAATAAAGATAGAGGGAATATAATTCGATACAAGAAATAGGGAAAAAAAAAACTCGATACTAGAATCTTTGGAAGGTAGAGGGAAGCTCTAACCGCTTGAGCTAATTCTCACTTACTCCCAATTATTTATGATATTCTTATCTAATGTTAGTTTATTGAGATTAAAAAAAACTACAGTGTTATAATAAAATTTTAATCTCGAGTCTAAACAATTGATAATCTATAGTGCCTTTCTATTTTTGGAGTATAATGAATTTCTATGAACATCAATTGTTCATGACTCAAGCAAAAAGGACTAGTAAAAGTAGTTAGTTAGAAGGGTGATGAATGCGATTTTTATTGTTTTTCCATTGTATACACAATTTCCTTAATAATCATCTGTTAATTAAGTAAACGGTGCATCCAATTACATGAATATATACTTTCTAGATGAGTTCATGTGGAGTTAATTTGGTAGATATGCCTCTTGAATTTATTCCTTTATGTTACGAGTTTACATGGAACTACTCAACCTAATCATGGAATTACAAGACAAATTCACACGGTTGCTTATTATATGCTTAGTGATGTTGAAATTTCCTTCAATGTGAAGCATAATATATTATATTTAGTTATTTACTACTAGTATATGATATGATATTTCCAGGTATCTTCTACTATTCTACCAAGACTTAGCCTTGGCTGCCATTCAATTCAATACATTGGCTTGGCTTTAAGTCAAATAATCAATATAATTTATGTTTATTATTTAAGTATAAAGTTCAAACTTAGTTGACTAAATAATCTGAATTGGAGATCTCTGCCAAGGGCATGATATAATAAGCCTTAATAAAGAAGAAATTTTAAGCAAAACTTGTGGAGCAATAGAAGAAAAAATCTATTATGTTTCCTTGATACGGAGTATTTATGAGATGTATTGCTTAATAGAATTTGATCTCAAGTCTAAACAATTGATAATCAACGTCCAGGTCATGTTGGACTAGAGTATCCGTTAATTGGGTCAAGTTGCACTATCACATCTACTACATAATAATTTTGGCATGTTGATGTTGGTTAAGCAATATTTTTTTTAATTTGGTGCGGATAAGCCACAAGAGCAATACAAATCAATTTATTTTCAGTAAATACTCCGCACATTAGTCTATATAACTCCATATATGCTTACCTCATTTAAGTAAATATAAGAATATAAGTAAATATAACAAAATCACATATTATAACCATCAAATTCAGATATACGAAGTACAAGTAAAACTATTCCGATTACCACCTTTAACAAGGCTTTTTAGCCTTTTTTGAACAAAGTCCTAGAAGCCTACAACTACTACAATTTGAAATTAAAACCTTTGTTTGCACAATCTGCATGTTTATAGTCCGTGGGCGTTATGGGCTCTTATGATATGGGCAGGCCCACTAATTGGACATAAAGATTTATAATATTGGGCTCTTTGGTTATGGGTGGCCCACTAATTGGATATATAGATTTTTAATATTGGGCTTTTTGTTTATGGCTGGCCCACTAATTGAATATAAACATTTACAATATTGGGCTCTTTGGTTATGGCTGGCTCGCGTATTTGATCAATTGATCCCCAATTCTTACAAGACTATTTATAATAAAAAAATATATATACGTAGTATATATATATTGGACAAAAGCAAAGAAAAACTAGCACGCTTGTGCAGATCATAATTGAGCCGAAACCATTCTTTGTAACAAAAACAGAGAGTGTAACATAGCACGCCTAGTCTACTTTTCAGGTAACCTTCATAAGCCAACACAATAAGCTGTATTAAATACTATTTTATGACTGCCCCTTAGTATTTACGTCTCCATAATATACAAATTATACTTATATCTATTATATACACGGTGTACTCAGATTCCCAGAGTTAGTTAGTTTGATGTATCCAATTAACATTCGTGTTATTGAGTCAATTTATAATTTTTCCTCCTAATCTACTCCGTTTAATAATTTTATTCGTAAAAAAGAAGGTAATGAAAAAAAAATAATGAGTAAAGTTTACGAGTACTAAGTATCAAATCACCAGAAAGAAAAAAATATATTGTACTCAGTACTCAGTATTCCGTATCTTTTTATTTCCAGTAGTATAAGATAACAAAATAAAAATGAATAATGTCATTGTCTTATTTACAACCTAAACTTAAATGTTGGTGTACCAGAAATTGGCGCATTTACCATCAATGTCTCACATAAAAACATAGCTAGCTTCCAACAACAAAACATCCAAATCATACATTTTTTGTTTTCTAACCCCTTATACATTGAAGACTTGAAGTCAATTAATGTATCTTCAACTACTTTTCTATGTCAAAGATTCACTAGCCACTAGCTACACATATATTTCTATTACTTACAACTATGTAATTTCTTAAATGAAATAAAATCTCATCCCACATAGTAGACTTGTAAATAGTACTGGTATGGACTATAGAGTAGTACATCAATGACACGGTTTTTAACTTTGACCGCATTTTATATTTATACAGTAATTTTTTTTTTTAATAAAAGGAAATGTGGATATGTAAACAGTTGTTAGGAATTCAATGTATTGTGTATTGTTTTACATATTTTGGTCGATGTTTAAAGATGTCAATAGTTATAATTGGCTTAATAAGCTAGATAAATTAAACTGATGCTATTTTAAATTGGATGTGGGCATTTAGATCTATCTATCTAATAACCATCAAATAATAAGGAAATTCTTCAATTATTAAACCTATCTAATTTGAAAGATGTCATGAATTAGCATATGGCCTAATGTAATTAATTAGAGTTTACATTGTGGCACCTGAAGCAAATAGAACTAGTAATTTTTTTCGAGGCTTCGCGGTATAATTCACAAGCCTCGCACACATCACACACGTCTCGACTCGTACGGCACGTATGGGTGGATATGCAGGTATAGACATAGTAGTGATGGTACTAACTGCTAAGTTGACAAATATCAAATATGACAATGTTTTGAGTAATAATTGAGTTTTCAGGGTACTACTGATTTAGTGAACTGCTCGTACTCAGTTTATGAACAATCTCATGTTAGATTGAAATATTGAATTGAAGGTTGAGAAATTTAAATAAATAATAATACACTATTAACAGTAGAAAAAATGAACAAGGAAAGCAAAATAGAAATTCTTGTTTTCCAACACTTTCTTTAGTAATTACGAAAAATTTAAAGCATACCTAAATAGTACAACTAATACTTTACTGTACAATCTCCAACTAATACCCAACTAGATAATCTATTTTCCCTACAAAATTAATTTATGGCACGAAAAGGTTACATGTTCAAATCTCAACTCCCGATCACAATTATACGCAGTGTTAGTGATCACCTATCTAAAGTCCTCCCTCGTCGGAGAAGGCGAGGGAGTAAAGTAAGGCGGAGAAGTACAAGGAGTCAAGAAATCCGGTTCGACATCGAAATCATCATTTTCACCCACCATAATAATTACCTCAGGCGCATCACCACCAACAGGAAGCTGAAAATTACCAAAATGTTGACTCAAACTGATTCCAAATTTCCCATTATTATCTCCTAAAACAGATGCAAGTTCAGTTTCAACTTCTTCACGCTCTTCTTCCTTGATGGTAAAGAGAACCCTGGAAGGAGCGCCGTAAATACCGTCTAACTTGAATAGTTCAGCGTGTGATGTGGAGGTTGGTGACGGCGTTGATGTGGGTCCGCAAGCGGGCTCGATGCGGCTAGTATTGCGACGAGCTTGTTGACGGCGACGCCAAATGAGGTAGATGAGCTCGGCTAAGAGGGAGAGAAAAAGGATGGAAAAGACTGAAGTGAGTATGATGCCAAGCTTGCTAAAGCCACTCATGGTTTTGGTTTGGTTGGTTGTGTGTGTTTTTTTTGGGTTTTGGGGTTTGGAGGTTTCTTTTTAGAAGTGTGAAAGGGGGTAATGTGGGTTTTCCACTCTTTTGGAGTACATATATCATTATTATTACCATCATTATTGGAAAAGAAAAGAAATTAAAAAGAAAAGAAAAGAAATTAAAAAGAAAAAAAAAGAAAAGTAAAAAAGTTACATTGTCATTATCTTAATTAGGCCCTAACTTATTATCAAGATTAATGTACTAAACTAAATTTATATAATTAAATAATAAATTAAAGACAAGTGTATGTAATTATTGTATGTGTAATTAACTTGTCTACTACTCTTTGCACGAATTGATCTTATAATTCGTTATAAATTGTTTGAAGTCGTTTGACTGTTTTAGATTGAAACATGAATCAATATTATAAACTTTTTACTTCACCCGTTTTATAAAAGTTGCAACACTTTAACTAAAAATTTCTCACATTTTTAATCAAACTATTGCAATATTTTTTTAAAGTAAAAAAAAAAAAAAAAAAAAAAAAAAAAAAAAAAAAAAAACCAAATCGGAGTGAGATTAGGGTCGAAGGACATAGACTCATTATATAAAGAACTAAAGTTGTCTTGTGTATTGGTTTATTTATTTAATTTGTTTAATTATTATCCAAATATATTACTACCTCCGTCAATTAGGATCTTTAACCAAAATGGCTTATTTGACAAAGTATTTACCAAAACGGCTAATTATAAATTTTAAATCCAAAACTAGCTAAATTATTGACTTAGAAGCTAAGGATATTGTCTGTTTTGGTAAATAAATTAGCTAGTTTTGAAATTAAAATTTATAATTAGCCATTTTGATAAAATACCTTTTGCAAAATAACCCATTTTGGTAAAAGAACACGTTAATTATTACTCGTATATACAACTTCAGAATTTTTTATATCTCGCAAATAATACTCCAAAATTGCACATAATAATTAACCGAGTTAGTATTATATGATATGTAAAATAAATAATAAAATTAAATGCGAGAGTTCCATACACAAATTTTACCATTATCTTGCGCTTTCAATTTTATTAGAGGTAATAAAAGATCGACCAAATAGAGAGATGCAACTATGCAAGATGTGTGGGTGTGAAAGGTGCATAATTGAGTTTAGAGACACACGGGGGTAATTATTGTCAACCTAGCTTCAATTGAGGATTATAGTTCATAATCATCTTTCTTAGGTGAAATGTTCCCCAAATTGAGGGCTTTCTTTATCTTTCGCTTATTATCGATCTACCACTACTCGATCTCATCTACCATTTCTTATTTTTAATTTCTTATTATAGACTTTATTTTCATTAAAGGAATTCTCTTATTCTAACTTTTTGACCATGTTGTTAGGCCATGCTCTTATCTCTTTAATTGGTGGTATATAATGTACGTGGTCTTAGTTAACTCGACATTAACTAATTAACTACATAAACTTCGTGTTCTTGTTTATTGTTGATTTTGTTAATCTTTTATACATTCAATAATAACATGCTCCATATCTGGCTGCGCGCCCCACCTCATACTCGCTTGCGCACTCCATCCATATATACACCCGTTCACCTAATCCCAACCTTAGCTTGAATCAACCACTATAGTACTTCTTCCATTCTACCCCAATTGCACTTCCTAGAGAACAATTGAAGGCTTAAATATCTTAATTTAAAAGTGGTAGAAATTAAAGAAAAGTTAATATTATGAAAGTATCTATCAGACTAATCTGATAAGCCCCACATACAATCAGGCCCGTTTCTGAGATTTCGGTGGCCTAGGGTAAAAACATAAATTGGGGCCCTAATTCACCTATACTATATAAATTTTTAAAAAAATTGGGTATGCAAAATGAAAATACATATTTTATTATGATTAATAATTTTTAAAAACATCAAATTTCATAAAACATTGAAATTACATTCCCGTAACTCTCGTTGAAGTAATTACACCAACCGAACCATTCAATCCAAGTATCCAACCAATCAATTAGATTTTTTTCCCCAAATTTTGTAATATTTGAATGAAAGTAGTTATACAATTTAAGAAAAATATAATTTAATATAAATAAGAGAAGTTGATGAATAAAGTCATGTATGCACCAATTAAAAAAAAGTAGGGTATGCAAAGAGAATTATATATAATTAGATAAATTCCCGTTGAAAATTGAAGAGTAAAAAGACCGTTTATTTTAGTTTTCATCTTCAATGGAATCGAGAAAGAGAAGGAGTTCAACTAACTAAAAATTGTAATAAGATACATTTTGAAAAATAAAATTAACAAAAACGGGGATACAATTAAAATTGATGACATTTTTTTTTGTTAATCAAATTCACTTAGGAAAGTGAATAATTTGGCAAAAAATTAGGGAAGAAATACGTTGACAAAAAATGTCATTTGATATTTTGGAATTCTACGGTACTATTGTAGTGTTGTACAGTATACACTTCTTGTTTTCTCTCTTTCTTTTTTCTTAAAAATATATATACATAGTATTACTTAGTACGAAGTATATTTTTCTGAGGCCTTGTATTGTATTGAAGCTGGGCTTTTTAACAAGGGGCCCGGGGCAACCGCCCCAGCTGCCCTCCCCTTGCTACGGCCCTGCATATAATGAGTGTTTGTATAGGAGGAAAACTTTCATCTTCCTTTCTTCTCTAAATGTGAAGGAATTACCAACCATGATCGGTTGAGCTTTGGCTTTGCCTTGCATATATAAACTCTTTGTCGATTCATGACATATCTGAACATGGGTGATTCAAAATAACCAACTTGAAGATCATTCATACAATTATCTCTTTCAAATTTATTTTTTTCAACTTTAACCTCGAAAAGAAGGTTTAGGATCCCATGACAATACAACTTCCTCATGTAGTTGATATAAAATATGGCTATGTGGGATTATTTTAGGTTCACTTGGATTAATATTTTCAAAATATTATATTAGCAATTGACAAACATAAAATGTGAAATGTTAGGGTTAAATAAAACAAAGTAATGAAGTATGAGGGAAGACATGCATGTGTGGATTGTGGAACATATTTACATAATACTAGACTCGTTAAGGAAGAGTTAGCTACCAAAGCTTGTATGCTACTTGGACCGCTATATGGGCTGGTTTAGGCCCCAATTAACAAACATTAAACGATAGAAGGTTTAGTATACTTCTAATACATTGGGAAACAAATTTCCTTATCAAACATACCCAAGTCTCTTTCACTAACATGATTAATTGGTCTAGAACAACGACCATGCAATTGCCATCTACAGTTTTAAGATCAAGAGATTCCTACTTCTTTACGCTTTCTATGTTACACTCTTTATCTTTTTTGTTCCTTTGACCAGCTTTTGAAGCCATGCATAGGAAATTAAATTGTTACAAATCCTTTCATAAGATCAATGTAACCTCGATTTATTTAATTTTAAAAATGTACTAAACAGTGTATTTTAACAGAAATAGTGGTTTTTTTTTCCTCTTCTTCATCTATGTGTATTAGACAATATACATGTGAATAACAATAAGGTTTCAACATTTTACACAACTTTATTTCATATGTGTCCTTCGAATTCATCTCTATCTGAAATGTAATTGATAGATAATATGTTACTATTACCTTGTTAATAATCTGTAAAGATATATTTTGTGTAATTTAAGACTCTCATAATTAGGGTTGTAAATACTTACCTATATATATGTTGAATGAACTAGCTTATACGTTATCTTTATACAAAAAACTTTTATTTCAATATAATTTTCTTATAAATTTTTACTCTTTATAAAAAGGTAAAAGTATAACAAAAGGTCATTTTTTTGAAATAAATTGTATATATATAATAGTAAAGTAGGAAAGAAAATGTTATAGTTAAAAATTTCCTAAGATTTGTTGTGAGTAATTCGTAACAGAGGAAGTACTGAAAAATGGTGGAAAATTATTTAACCACGTTTTGACATTTATTCGCCTTTAGTATATAGTTATTGATTGATTTATGAAAAGTCTCCATGAAGGAGAATTACACTATTCTACATGGAATATTAGTGCCCAGTTAGGGTTTTTTTTTTTTTTTCACAAACCCTAAACCGATCCTAAATCGTTACATAGTTGATCCAAAAATCTAAAAGGAGAACTTGTGTATCACTTGGTTTTGGGAGTCATTGCATCTTTCTAGCTCTTATCTTTACCAAAATTTTACATTTATCTCAAATTTCTCCAAGCATGATTCCTTTATTTTGATGCCAAAAAAGAGGCCAATCACAATCTATTTTGGGTAGCTGTTCATCCTCTTTTATTAAAGTCTGTAAAAGATCAAATTAAAGTTGGTTACTATGTGGAAATGTAGTCTTCATTACACTATTTTTGCTTCCTTTAGTTATTCAAACAGTGTTTCTTTATTTTTTTTTTCTGGGACTAATATACATGTTATGGGTTTGTGTAACTTGATCTTCAAATATGCTGTTTTTGAAATAAAACATGCATGGTTCTTTGTGCTACGAAATGTAACTCTCAATTTCCACTAGTTAAAAAAAAAAAAGTGGGCGTCGAGAATGTAGGTCTTGTTATTCTCGAAAGTGTAGTAGAATTTTGGTCCTTACCGTCAATCCCAAGGAAGGGTTTTTATATCATTAGGTACATTATTACTTTTTTTTTTTTTTTTGAAGAAGAAGAAATTAGGTTAATTATTTTATTTTATCATTTGTTAGGAGATCGATTTAGTACAGCTTTATTTTCATCACATTATCTGATCATTATGTTTTCTACTCCCTCCGTCCCCAAACTTTGACCCTTTTCGCCTAATTTTAGTCCCAAAATGACTGATCTATTTGCATTAAAATACCCACCAATTTACAACAATATTTGTGCAAAATTAGCTTTCCATATATAATTTTGTTTTTTCATGTATTTTTAATACTTTATCTCTCTACTTTTTTACAAACCCCATGTAAGTTTATAATTCCAATATGTTTTTATTTCTT